GCAAAAGAAAAAGCTTTTGAAGCAAAAGTCTTCTGGTCACCATTATACTTAAGACACCATGCTAAGGAGCCTCTCCTTTATTCAAGTTAATATTGTAAGCAAGAGGTATCTGTCTCAGGGGAGCAGTGAAGCAAGAGTGCCACAATATTAGCAGTGTCACAGCAAGTAATAGACAAGCTCTGCTGTGCTGGAACAATAATAGAAAATATATCTATTACAGGGAGAAAATGTACTAATTTATAGTCAGTTCCATGTGGTGGAGAGAAACTGAAAACAACTCCTTAAACTGCCCTCCTAAGAAAGAAGGTACTGGCTCTTTCCTGCGAGGCACAACAAAGTGCATTACAAAAAAAAAAAAAAAATGAATGAGTGCTATTTTTGAAAAAGAACAACGAAATAATTATTTCTACTAATACTAATAACGCTTGGCTCCTTCTAAAGAGCTTTCATGTATCTGGATCTCACAGCACTTTAAGTACAGAAAGTGTTTTATGGTTCCTCTCAGCCAGGGAATTCAAAACCAAAACATTATCAAATGGGGATGGTTGATGAAAAACCAGAAGAAAAGTGTGCCCACGTTCTGTCACTGCCATAGACATGCATCTCTTACATCTTCATCCTTACAAGTTCACCCTTGGAGGAAGTTACGTGTCATACAGAGTTACAAAATGTAGAGATAAAGGTAAGCAGTCTGAGTGGAAGGAGCTGGTGAGGGAAAATTGGGCCAGGAGAAACTTGGAAGAAGTAGAGTTTGATAGAACAGAATATGGAAAGTGCACAAAGTTGGAAGGGTTGAGATTCAGTGGGGAAGGTGGTTCATTAACATTATGAATACTGTCAGCTACTTTGAGAGGTAGACCAGAAATATGACAGCACTCCACTTCACTACAAAGTTAATTCTAGAGAAGAATGTGACAGCTGTTGCAGAACGAGTAACACTTCACTTCTATCTGGGACTAAATAAAGAAGAAATTAATTGAAGCTAGTAGGAAATTCAGTAGACAATGATTCTCTGCACTACATACTGCAATTTGCTTCTCCTGAAATCACTATATGAGAAAATGTTTTACTTAGCTCCTAGCTAGATGAAAAAGTGTTGAGATTTTCCTGCCTAAATAAAGAAGTATATTTCTTCCCTGTGTCACCATCCTTCTGAGAGATCAAGGAACACAAGAAACTCTCTCTACTGTACAGTTCACTAAAACACAGAGTTCCTCTTCCAAAATCCTTTAAGCAAAAACTTCACTTTGTATCCATCACTAATAGAATCTGTAATCTATCACATGGAGCTCAGCACAGGTTTAGTTCCAGCAGTTATCTAAAACACATCGTTTCAACCACTAAATCTAAACCTTTAATATAAACTTTCAAAGACAAACTATTCCCAGCAGTGAGACACTGCACTCCTCAGTGGTTAAGCCTCATGGAAACAGTGACTGCATCTGTCACCCAGAAGAGCTACTTTTCCTAGAGAACCATTCATCATCCCTAGAGTCAGACTCCATGACATAAAAATTCCCCTGCATAAATTTAAGCAGAATTTTAAATGAAGGTAGCATCCCAGTTATTGATTATTTGGAGCAAAATTCCTATGAACCATAAATGACAGGGTTTATGAAAAAGGAACTGTTAATACTTATTTGTATCATCTGATTCCTTACTTGACTATACACTTCCATATGCAGTTTCTATGACAATATGTTTTTGGGAAGTTTTCTAGTATAATTGAATTTCTTGACTGTTACTTCCTCTCTCACACACAGTCCACGCCAAAACAAAAAAAGCTGAAGGAGGTAGTAAGGATGATCTCAGCATTACAGTGCCCAGATAATCACACTACTTAGTGAAAAACAATGACAAACACACTTTTTCCTAAGATCTGTAATTCTAGCCACTTTCGAGCTTTGGAATAATCAATTAGAAGAAAGGAAAATGCAGTGGATTGATTAATCTTTTCCAAAGTAAAACTCCATTCTGTGAATTGTTCCCCCTTGTTCAGTAATGCGGGAAGCATTGCAGCTTGCAGTTCTACCAATAGAAAGAAACAAGTCCCTGTTAAGAAACACAAGATTTTGCTAAAAATCTTCCTATCAAATACTACCTTCAGAGAAATAGCGTGCAAGAGGCTTGAAGTTCTTAGTTACTATCTAGCTATGTAAAATGTAGCAAATAAAAATATATATATATATATATATATACTCATCAGATTCTAATTCTATCACTAGTTACTAATCCTATCACCAGATTTAAAAAAAAAAAAAAATCTGGCCAGATGCCTTGTCCCTGTGCAATCATTTACAGTTGTTCTCAATTAGAATAAAGAGTAGATAAAGTGGCCACCTTGTGCTGATGGGAAATTTCACCGTCCTCTTTGTAATAACAATAAGTTTCCTGTGTTTAAGAATCAAGTTTATTCCTAATAAATTCTTAAATATGCTATACTACCACACCAAGAAATTTAATATATAAGATAAAAGCTTATCCTACAAAACTGCATATTTAAGCAGGAAGAAGCCTAAAACACATTGCTAAAAATAAGTTTTTCCAGAGCAGAAATAAACATTCAAATAAGCATATATTTGCTTTCACAATTGCTTGACCATTAACATCAACAAGTCCTGGCCATGGACCATGAAGTAATTTCACCTTAACTATTGAAAAACATAAATTTACTACATAATTGAGCTTAAACATACATAGTCAAAATTCAGGACAGAAATTTGAATGCATGGATGTCAAAAGTACCTACCGCGTACCCGTAATATAGAGTAATTCAGTGTCATACTTCTGCAGTTAACAATGTTATGAAGAAAACTATTTCTAATTTTGAAATTTACTTTGTGTTCCGAATCCTCACTTCATGTCTTGTTTGCACACTTCTGTTGCCTTCCATAAATATACAACAGCTAAACATTTTCATTTTTCTAAGGAGAATATATCTGATTTTATTGCCTTCCCATCAAGCTCGAACTGTTCTTAGTTTGGTAAAATTAAGATGCATGTGGAAAAAAAATGAAAAGTCTCCACATTCTTTAACAGTGTGACATGACAATATGACTGGGAAAAACCATACCTTTGCATGCACTATCATACTGTGGCACTATATTACCAGGCAGGGAGAAAACATGGCAGTATAAAGTGATACAGATTTGTCACGGAAGATGTTGGCTGCAGTGGAAAAATATCACTTGCTGCTCTGAGGAAAAAAAACCTAAGTTATCAGGAAACTTACACTGAAGAAAATTAGTTGAAAATAGTTTCAACTTCACTGCCCAGGGCATACATTAAATACATTATCTGTATTGAGCTCAGCTGCAGCTCTAAATTTAGTGAATGTGGTTTTCACTGAGGCTAATGAAAGTTGTAATCCCCATGGAGAGTGAAATTTCAGCATTTTATTTATTCAATGGCTTCTCATTCTCCAACCAAACCACCTCGGGCTATGAATTATCGGAGCTCAGAAGGGAAGGGTCGGGGGCCTCTTACAAGGGATGCTCTGAAGGTAACATCTATTTTATGATCTTGGCCTCCTCTGTCAGAAGTGGACATCGGTAGTACAGTACCAGAGATTGAACCTTCCCACCAATATTCTGTTACAAGTTGTTGGTGTGTGACAGATGGCAGCAGAGAGGCAGTCTGACAGAATGGCATCTCTAATGGAAGTTCAGATGCAGCAGAGGAGTTGAATTCCTCCATGTGGAAAAAATGGCACCAACTGACATTCATCAACACTTGTGAATGCTTATGGAGACCAATCAGTGGATGTGAGCACAGTGAAAGTTCAACTGCATGGGCAATGTTCTCCTAGCAACAATGCTATCATAGCAGCTGTGAGGCAGTAGGTCACCCCTGCTGCTGCAGATTTTTACAAATGTGGCATTTGGGCTCTTGTTCATCACTGTTGAGAATGCATAGCTAATGGTAACGACTATGTTGAAAAAACAGCATTTTTTAAATGATAATTTGCTCTATCAAATAGTGTTATTGTGTTCCTTGTATCTGCTGTAGTTTCCACAGAAATAAACAGGAGGCATTACTTTCAGAGTGACCTACATAAAATACACAGATAAGAAAACTCTTTGGAAAACGTGAAGGAAGAAGTGATAATGATACCATCACATTTCTGTACATTTAGAACAAGGATAGTAGGTAGCTAACCACTGGTATTTCTTTATTTCATGAGAAATCTAATATAGGAAATGTAATTAGCAGCAGCCTTTCAAAAGTTTTTCCCTTGCCCTCCCCAGAGGAGATGCCTGCACTCCTGTTTCAGTAGGATGAGGCTGCAGTCCTGTACACTGCCAGATCGTGTCACAGTAAACTTGTCTTCTGGCTTAATTACAAGCACGTACTCATTTCTATTGAATTTGCCAGTAGTCAACTTGGAGCTTATACTGCTTCATAGTTTTGTGACAACTATGTGTCACCATAGAAACACCTGCTCCTCCTTAAAATTTTAGTGAAAAAGATCACGCATACCCACTTGCATATAGTCACCAGAAACAAAGCTAGACTACCAAAATTTTTCAGAGAATTCTAACCCAGAAGTATGATTCAAGTTGCTCTTTTCTGTAGCCAGAGTGGTTTCCATTAAAGTCAAAAGTTGGATTTACCATATGAAGTTTTAGTCTGTGTACAGATATAAAGATAAAAAACATTTGATGCTCAGTAATTACAATGGGACTTACCTCTAGATTAAGACTTCTTAACATAGTGAGACACATGTCCTCACTTCCACTGTAGCTGGTGAATATCTGATCAATATAGTTGATGGCAATTGAAGTAATTGAGCTTAAAAGTTTGTTTTGAACCTCACAGCTCATAAGGCTAGCATGGTTAACAGCTCAGTTTCTGTTGCAGATTTTATACCATTAAGAAAAAAAGATGTTTCAACACACTTCATTACTTCTGACTCCTAAATTCAAATGACTAAGTACCCACATATGACAGGGTCACTCATATACTTTTGTCACAAGGCTGACATTCACATCTCCACATACCGCAAGGGCCACTGCACTTCCACAACGTCACCACAATCTGTATCTGTACTTCACCGCAGTGTCTTTACTTCATGGTTCCCCTTAAAAGCAAACAAAACAAATGGGTAACAGTTTATATTCGTTTTACTACCACAGCTCAAATAGTAACCTTTCCCATCAGCAGTGGGATCCCTTGCAGAAATAAATAATAGCAGAATCCACTTGAAGCACCTAAAATTACCTAAATACGAGGTACTGAGCTGCCTGCTGAGATACACACATCCTATACTTCCTCCAGGCAGACTTTACTCACTGACATCTAAGAAATCTGTTATGGAATTTAAATCTCCTCCCCTAGGTAGACTTAGAGTCCTGCATCCAATAATTATACCTCATTATAGCAGGGTTCAAGCATCCTTTCACGCATGACATTTAGCTGAAAATGGTTCACCCCTGAGGGAATGTTTGGATGAAGATGCTAAAGATATCCCCTGCAGATCAGCTTAAAAGCTTTTTAGCTTGGTTAATAGATGAGAGCCTGATTGTATTAGTATCAGCTAATTGATTTGAAAAACAAAAACTATAGATCTTAGCCTGTCTTACAATTGCCCTATAGTTTGCTGGTAAACCTGAACAGTCAGGGACAAAGTCTTAACAGATGTAGCAGACTTTGGAAATTGGATATTTTCCAGTTCAGCAATTGGTAGAGACACTATCTGGATTATGCAGTCCCTTATTAAGAAGTGTCAAGGATTAGCCAGAACTGAAAACACTTGTGGGATTAGGGATTTATTTATATGGAGACAATCAGGAAGTGAATTAACTAAAAATGTTACTTTAAAGAGAAGCTGTAAAACTGCATTAAACCCTAATGTGCATGTTCTCCTTTAGAATTACATTTGAATGATCTAACTTCAGTGTAGAAGTAAATTAAATTAAATTAGGACCACTTGAATTCTGGATAAGAAGGCCCTTGGGGGTTTTAATGATGTTTAACTGATCTATTTCTAAGCCATATCTTTCGTTGACTCACATTAATTTTCATGAATTGAACTGTGTAGATAAACCTCAAGTTCTGAAATTAGAAAATCACAACAAAAAAGTGACTGCTAAATTAATGGCAGCAAAACATTTTTAAAAACAGTTGCAGAACAGCTTGTTCATCTGCAAAGGCAACAGTAAGGGATCGTGCTGACTCTGGATTTGCATGATGAAGGACACAATTTAGGAACAGGCTCTCTTAAAGCTTTGCATTATGACAGAGCCCAAGTGAAGTTTGTTCTACACTTTTCACATTGAGAACTGCTTGGTCTGGAGCTGTTGTCCAGCTAGTCTTATACCACAGATTTTAGAAAACTCTGATCATTTTGGAAGGCATTTAGGCCAAGGTTAAGGTTTATGAAGGAAAACATGTAACTTATGACACATCAATAAATAGGTGCTCTTTTTTTCCATCCCAAATTCAACTGCTGGAGACAAAAAAACAAAAAACTGAAAACTCCCTCATTTTTTTCCCTCTAATCTATATAATCCATGGTTGTCAACTTCTACTCAGTCTATTTCTTGCATACTACTAGAAAAGCAAGGAGACAAATAGCATGACTTATCTTTCTGCTTTATGGATGCTCAATATCCTGGTTCCACACAGGAAAGACTACGCTGCTAAGCAATATTCTTAATATTTGAACACACCTACTAGGATGTTATGTCTAATTAAGGCCTCTGGGGAGACTTACTATTCTCAGATATTTTACTGATATCTTCATACAGCTGCAGAAATAAACTACGTGTTGATTCAGTAACAATCAAGTTTTAAAAAAAAAAAAAAAAAAAAAAATCAAGATTGATGGGGTGCATCTTTCTTACTTGGATGAATTAAAAAAAGAAAAAGGAAACCTGGTACCAGAAAACAATGTTTCTTCATAAGCATCATTAAGTACAACCTAAAATAATATTAATGCTATTAGAACTGCTAAATGAATAGGAAAACTAAAAAGTTTTGATGGAGTTACAGGGGAGCTCAACTTAGCACTTTTAGTATTTTCCAATATGAATTTAAAATGCCAGCATTTTGATAAATAATTCCTGATGTTATACCTATTGCCATTTTCAATTAAAAGGAAATATAAACTCGCCTATTTAAGAACAGAGGAAAACTGACGAAAGGAAAACAGAAAAGGGGAGAGAGGTTGCATTTATCAAGGTAGAGAAAGCAGGCTCTCTCTGAAAACACGTGAGGCTAAAAGCAGAGGGGTTGAGGAGGTGAAAGCACATTACTTTTAAACCTGAAGAGGAAACCAGTTTAACCTTGACTTCCCCAGGGCCTATGAAATCATGAATACCAAGCAGAGCTTTGAATGAAAAGACTTGCTCCTGTTGTTCTGGGGTGACAAGCGTTGCAGAACTTCAGTACATATGGTTCTGAGATTCTGGTATGTTTTTGGCTATCAGAATATTCTGATTTTATTTTCCACTGGAAAGTTTTTTTTTATTTAATTATTTTTGTACTGAGCCCTGAACTAGTAATAGCTTAAACACATAACGAAATTCTACTGATTTCTAAAATATCCTATGTTTTCCAGGACAAGGACCATCTTTCAGTTAGGTGTGCATCCAGGTAACTCCATGACAAATACAAAATGAATATAATGGCAAAAGTCTGCTCAGTTCAGCCAAACAAATGCAAACAAAACATCCACAGCCCAACCCTACTTTCTGCTCTCTTAATGAACTGAATCAGCTTATGAGTGATGGAACAAGCACCAGCACCTGTAAAAGAAGTTGGACCATGGAAGTTGAAGTAAGGGAGGACAGAACAGAAAGTAGGGGAGAGCAGAAGCTGAGATGTTCCTTTCAGCAGTAACAAATCATTAAACAGGCTCAAAGATCTTATCTCTGCAGTTTACATCCCTGAGTATTATGCCTGAATACAGGCCAGCCTCTCTGCCTTTTCCTTCACTTCCCAAGGGCACAGTTCTGCCAAATATGTAAGAAGTGCTGTTCAGTATGGCAAGATTTAGCAAAAACTTCTTTTTAACTGCTGTTCAAGTATTTGTAGTAGCTGCAATGCATTCAACACAGAGGTATAGTAAAAAAAAATTCCACTTAGTAATAATTCTGAAGCTTTCTTAGGCTAGTCAGAAGTGTGAACTCTTCAAATGAGACTTTTTATATGGCTTTTCAAAAATTCAAGGTCTTTTACTGTAAGAATGAAAACGATTTCTTTTCAGTTTTCATCCTTCAAAAAGAGATTGTGCAGTTAAACTTAAGTCTTTGCCAAGTGATGTGTAGTCAAAAGAGTTACATTTGAAAATTAAAAAGAAAGGAGTTCTCTGTGAAAGTCAACGTTTAAAGCTTTTACTACAAAAATATTGGAATATTATGATATTATTAAGATGCACTGCAGAGCATTTGGATCAGAGGTTAGAGACATTAGTCAAGATCATTCTGTAGATAATCATTCATAGATTTTGCAAGAATACACTGAAGCTCAGAAAAATGTTGTCCTTTTCTATCTGTATTTATAATAGACCTTTATTCAAAAGCCCATCTCATATTTATATTATTTTGATAATTGACAGACATGCTGACAATTATCCTTCTTCCTGTTTTCAGGATTAAAAATTGATTCTCTCACTGAAGATAACAAAAGAGGAAGATGTGCCAAGAAGGTCTGAAACTGGAGTGGACAGTAGGGAACTTGGAGACCAACAATTCTGGATACTTTCAAAGGGTGGGTGTTCATGCTTTTCTGTCTCAGTTTATCTCTAAAATGTACACAGTATCTAGCAAGCCTACAGGAGTTATCCAGTTGTTGGCAGCAAAGCTCTTTTCAATACATGGGGTACTACAAAAGTGGTAAACAAAATTATTTTTACTAAGAAAAAAAATACAGTCTTGAACAAAGGGCAACACACTAATATTGTTATATTCTACTTGAAAAATGTATGTTTTTTCTTTTGAAGATAATAAAAATACACCATAAAAATGGAACTTGTCAAAATAAATCTCAGATAAGTAACCTAAGGAGGACGTGAGTGCTATAAGAAATTGACATTGGCTTGCCTGATTGCTTTGATGCTAAATGACTAGAAGACTGGGCTGAATGCTCAAGGCTGTTGTAAGATTCTCTGTTAAGCTTGATTTGTCCAAATCAGTTGCTCTGACAGAACTTGCTCATTTATGCACCTCTCATGGAGAGAAATCACTCTCAAAACAGCGGTGCAACTCCAGTATTGTTTGTTTGGGTTTTTTTTTTTTTGTTTTTTTTTGTTTTTTTTTTTTTTTTTTGGTTGGAAGCCACATCAGACCACTTATTAGTCAGGACTCTCTCAACCTCAGGGACCAGGGCACACTCATCATCCTTTACACATCACAAAGAATGAGGAATACTCTAGTATGCCACTTAGCAGTGCAGTCTGTGTACATAAGCTGACTTTTAACTCACTTGTTTGGGGACTCAGAGAAGTACACCCCAAAACAGAATGATCTCTAAAGACTGTTGAAGACTAAAAATATTAGAGCCTAAATGGAGTTTCAAACCCCCGGCTGGCTGCACTATGCCCAACACCCAGGCTAGCTGTTTTAAAGACAGCTCTCTACATTGTTAGATTGCAGTGTAGACATACAGTACGAGAGATGACAATAGATATTCATCAGCTTTAAAATTAAACAATGCTTAAGAAAAGAGCAGGAGAGAGACAAAGACTAATTCTTAAAGGAAATAAGATTTTACTTTCTGGAAATTACCATTTAGACATGAAGCCTGATTAATGAAAATTTAGTATAAAACTCCCAGCTAGGGAAACAAATGACATTTCCTTTGTCATTTGAAGCTTTGGTGGGAAGATCTCTCATAAGAAACTAACTCCAGTCTAAAAGATTCTTCTTAAAAACGCCATACAAATTTTGAGGACTTCTATTTTCCACTTCCTGGGCAACAAATTTGTTCATTTTTGCTCTGCAACTTGACAAATAAAATCAGAAAAAGTTCCTACCATAGGAAGCACTACTTCCTTATCTTATGGATACATTTTTACCTTAGCTCTCATTTTTACTTTCATTAAGCAAAAACAAAACAAAACAACAAAAAAAAAAACCA